GAAATTAAATTTACCCACTACAGAAAGAGACACTATCAGCTCCATTCTCTCAAAGCCTAGAAATCTCAATGTAAAATCAAGAGGTCATCTTCAGTTTAAGAACAAGCAACTTCGAAGAACAAGCCATGGTTGTTCTGAACAATTCAGCATCTTAAGTGTGTACCTGTCATCTGTACACATTAATTCTACAATTACCTTGACATAGTCAAAACGGATATGCATTAATTAAGCAATTCTTCCCTTTTCCACCCCATCCATCACCACAAAAAAGAACACAGATTCCCACAGGTTCCATTCACTCACCACAAAGATGTGACAGAAGAAACCTGACAATAAAAAACTACCACATATTGAAATCAGCAAAGACCACACTTGTTTTTCCAAGTTTGGCACAAACATCAAATTAAAATACAATTTGCCATTGTCTGATCTAGGTTAAAACACCAATAACCCCAATTCAAAAAATAATTGGGCAGGGAGCTAAGAAATGGAAATTTAGTTGTAGTGAGCCAACTTGGATCTTAAATTATGCCATTCAAATGATTTACTCTTTATGTCCAGTTAGAGGAATTGTCAGAGTTTCTTTTAGACCTCATAGAGAATGTAAATTACTTTCCAGAGACCAAATTTAAATATATTCCAAGGACTGTGTTCCAAATACTATACTGAAATGCCTAACTCAAAGTACTTGAGAGGCTTCTTACATATTAAATAATGTTTAATTTTAAGATCAAATTTATCTCATTTCATCAAGTTTAAATCTATTGCAAAATTACCATACTAAGTTTTTTGCTCAAATATTTATTTCCTAATAGACCTTGTCAAGATGGAATTCATCTGTAACTTAAATATGTTGACTGTCAGTGCATTCAACACCACATTACTATTGAACACAAAAGAACTACACTATCAGCTAAGCCAAACTGATTCCACCCTCCATCAATTCCAAAGAATTCTTGAAGACAGAGAGAGCACTAAGAGGTAATTTGTTAAAAGTAAATTGCCCCGACAATTATACAAACGAATCCAAAGAATCCCTAAAACTAACACAAGAAACACCTAGCTATATGACCTTGGATCTTAAAGTGTTTTTGTGTAGACTCTAAAAATTCTGTTTCATGATAAAATGTGACTTAGTTTAAAAAGGTGTACTACCCAGACCTGTCTAGTTCTTAAAACACCAGAGAAGCTAAGGGGAAAGGATCACATGTTCCAGACCAGCCTGGATAACATAGCAAGTTCAAGGCTAGCCTGAAGTATAACAGGGAGACCCTGTCTCAGAAAAAGGAAATAAAAAAGTATCCTGGCCTCAGACTTTTTCCCACGGGAAAAAATAATACATTAATCAAAACTTTACATGAATGCAAGGCTCTTCAACAATCTGGTGGATCAAAATTAATTTTAAGCAAATGAGTCTAAGATCTGGAGGTTTTTTATTTTATTCTATTACAACTGATTGGTAAGTTTTGCTTTGTAATATCCAAACACCATGAGCATTATATGAACCAAATTATAACATTCTGATTATTTGAGTTTGGAAAAGCCTGATATTAATGAAAATTACAAAGTTCACCACCTTTAAGGCACATGAGGCTAAAGAGAAGCCATGAAAAAAAGTCTGCTAAGAGAACTAAAAACAAACAAGACTTCTATAGAGTTTATGTAATAACTTTTTTGGCTTAAATATGAAGATATACAATAAATTTTACATTTTTTAAAGCTCATCAGAATCTGGATATGTTTATACAATAATTTCTTATATTTTTTCCTTTTAAGGGAATTTACTACTTTTAAAAGCTAAAAAAATGCGATGTCTATGCACACTATAGGTCATTATTTTATAAGTTGGCTTCTAGAATTTAGTTCAGCAATATCTAACTTACCCAAAAACAGAGGAACTCAACAAAACTGCCACTATCTACCAAAGAATGAAGAAAAAAAGTATCACTTTAAGTTCTTGGTAAGATAGAATGAACTAGCCCTTTACAACCTACTACATTCTAGAACACTGCCTTCCTTTAATCATTTGCAAAACTGTATAAAAATACATGCCATTTTGCTTAACTCATTGCTCACACTTTTAAAAGCTGTAATTAAGGACTGATATACTCTTCCAAGGTCTCTAATAAAAAGTCTCTGGATAAATCTGTGAAGAGGAGACTTACTCCACTGTCAAGTTTTGTACAGAAGATAACCAAAACTGGAGCAAATTTCTGGGCTTCTGCATTCACTTATTTATCCATACATATTTATATTCTATTTCTATCATATTCACCCACCATCTTTTGTCCCCCTTTCCTTTTCCACTAGAGCCTTACTTCTTCCAAAATAGTACCCCCTTCTAGTTGCATGAGATGCATATGATTACATCTACATTCCATGTGTAAAAAGAAAACCACTATGTTTGTCTAAGTCTGGTTCTGGTTTGCTTTAACATGATGATCTCTATCTAGTTCCATCCATTTTCTTGCAGATGACATAATTCCAGTCTTCTTTATGGCTGAATACCACTATACTCTGTGTATATGTCACATTTTCGTTATTCATCTGCTGTTAGAAACACTACTGTGATAAACATGGAAATACAAGTATTCCTGTCATATGCTGAGTTCATTTATTTTGAGCACATATCCAGGGAGCTGGATGATAATTAGTTCCACTTCTAGTTTTTTTTTTTGTTTTTTTTTTTTAAAAAAAAAACAGAACTTCCATATTGATTTATACTGGTACAGCCAGTTTATACTATCACCAGCATTATATTCAGATTCCTTCCCACCCAGTATTCTCACCAGCATTTGCTTTAGGTTTCCTTGATGACAGCCATTGTGACTGCAGTAAGATAGAATCTTAACAGTTTTGATTTGCATGTCCCTGATTTTCCTTTAAACTGACTGATTAAGTAGGCTTTCCATTGAAAATGGGGAAAAAGTAACTGACTTGAGTTTGTTTTAAATATATCTCACAGAGATACCAGAGTTAATAAATTACTATCTATTTCTCTCTACATGAACCATCCTAACAGATAACAGACCACAGCACATTAACAAAGACAGAAGATACTTTTGCCTTTTTGTTATTGTTTCTATTTTGGAGGGAAAGAGATTTTAATCTCTCTCTCTTTTAGATCATAAACAAGTCGAGTAGTTCCATTTTTTTTTCTTTGAAATGAAACTAGTATTTTTAATCTCCTCCAAATAGACTGAATATTCTCGTTCTAAGGTACAGATCGAATCTGGACTTATACAAAATTTCATGACACAATACGCAAACCTTTATAGACATTAAAAAATCTGCCAATGGCACTTTGGTAAACTTACTCAATAGTGACTTAGGTTAAATCTAAGTTAAGACTACATGATTTGTGGGAGCAACAGAGGAATTGGTCTTAAATTATATCCTGAACTGGTTTTGGATTTTCTTCTACAGAGCATCAACAAATTGTGTGACCGAAAAATGTTGCTCTGTATCTCAATGCTATCCATCTTCCTTGGAGAACAGTAAGAGCATGCAGATACTTCCTCTGTGGATTTTGCTACTACTTAGGGAAGGCAAAGGGTTTAGATATATTTGCTTCTCTGTTCTATTTCTGTGCTTGGAAGGGAAAACAGAGTACACCTTCTATCAAGTATTCTGGGGTCTAACCCCAGGATCTCTTTGGTCCCAAAAACCAGACTGGAGTACCAAAGGAGGTAGGAGGAAAATCAGAAATACTACTTGAACTGAAAGCACACTTAGTCATGCTTTTACTTTAGTAGCATTTTAAATTCTGACAGTTTTGAACTTTGTTCAAAAGTTATAGCCAGACCACAGACCTCAGCAATGTTGCAAGGTATTAATTTTTACCATCAGTTTAAATTCTTTAGCCTTCAACAAAGCAAAATAAAGTAAAAATTTTCAATGTATACAAAATCTTAGTAGCAGGCTGGCTTTGAACTTGCAATCCCCACCTCAGCTTCCTGAATGCTAGGATTAATGGCATGTACCATCATGTCAGGATTAAATCTTCATTTTTAACTTAGTAAAATTTAAGCCTTTTACTAACTGAAAATGAAGAAATTGAAGCTGTCAATCTTTTTGAAGAACTAAAGTTAAATACCCTTGAAACTCTATTAACCTCTGAACTCTGTAGTCTTTTCAAAATATTGATTACACAATCAGTTTGCCTTCTAAATGCTATAATATAATGAAAGTCAGAAAGCAAGTTGATTGTCAGTAGTCTCAAAGACATATAGAAGAAAAGGAATCAAACTATTTCTAAGTTCATGATAATGAATTCTTCAAAAACATTCAAAGAAACTTCATGATTTCACATTTAGACATCAAGTCCTATTAGGAACCCACAAAGGTATTTTCTATACGCAAAGCAGTTTCTGAAGTTTTGTAGAACTCTAAGTGGTCTGTTAGTTAATTTGGAATATTAACCTGTTCCTATGCCTGTAAGCTGCTAATCAAAATATATAAAATTGAAGATGTGCTGCATTAAAAGTTTTTTTTTTGATAGAGAGAAACAGATAAATTATCTTATCTAGCCTGGAGATTATCTAACAGCCTAAAATGTAAGGATACAATGGTAAAGTTTGATTGGTACCATTGCTCAGTTGGAATATCCATTTGAAAATTAATCAGCACAGCACTAAGTCTAAAATTTTGCTAGTGTAGCATTATTTTATCAGTAGTTATTATTTCCAGAATTTATTCTCACTTGATAGAAAAACAAAAAAACAAACAAAAAAAAACCAACCAACCAACCAAACAAACAAACAAACAAAAAAAAAAACCCCAAAACCGTATCTATTTTGAAAAGATTAGGGCCTATTCTTATACCTTTGCATTAATACTTAATGAAAACAGAACTAAACCTAATGAAGGCACTATTGTAAACAGCAATTCATACCTTATGTGCACCCTCGCCTCAAAAAAGATTTGCCCCTAGGAACTAATAATTGGCCCTCTTGAAAAAATAAACTAAGAAGGGAACTGAATTACAGATCCTACACATACTGTGACAAAATAAACTACTTGCTATCAGTACTTTGAAATCCTCCCAATTGTATATGTACTAGTCTTTGAAAAGCCCACTTAATCATCATAGTTAAAATAGTTAAGACATTTATCAGTGGTTCTTAAATCTGAATATGCATGAAAATAATCTGGCATTGGTTAAAACACAGTGCTGCCCCAAATCCATACTGCCTGTGAGTCTGCAATGGGGCTCAAATGCAATTCTAACAACTTTTCAGGTGATGCTGAAGCTGCAGGTACTGGGACTGTCCTCTGAGAACCACTGGCCTAAATTATGAATGGTACATCAGCACAACCCTAACCAAACTTTTGGTCAAGATGCATGTAAACCAATGAGGACAGAAGAATGCTTAGAAAGAATGTTGATAAATCCAGCCTATTACATTAAAACATCAACATCTGCTTCATGGTCTTCCTCAGTCACTTTCAATGACAGCACCTCTTCATTAAGGAAGAGCCCACTGAGCCTCTCCTTCCGGGCCTGCCTTTGCTCCTTCAGCTGCCTCTTACGGAAGGCCTTCTGCTGTAACTTCCGCTGCTTGGATCGCTTCTGTCAAAGTAAAAAGTGTAAAATCAGTAAGGTTTAGACATTGCTATAGGTGGCCCAGGGTTTTATGGCTCAAATTTCCTATTTTCTAAATTTTAGCAGTTGTTCAAGTTTCTCTGCAGAGTGATTCTTACACCAACAAGTAATCCATTAGCTTAGATATAAAAAAAATTAAGATTCTACTTTTATGGAATTTAACTAGCAACTCTTTGGCTAGGAAGGGTTGATACTTGATCATTTCGGCTAAGTATAGATAACAAAATACTATGAAGAATTCTATTTTTAAAAATCAAATAAGGTATACTGGTTTCAACACAGCAAAAATAAAATACTAGAACACAAAACTGAATATAAAATGCAGAGTACAATGTCCAAATCCCTAATGCTTTCAAGGGCTATGAACAAATCACACCTTCCTAATATCAGGCAAATACTATCTTAAAATCCTGTTAGGAACCCAGTGGATAGTTCAGCCTCATCACTGACAAATTAGTACAAAAAGACAATGAGCACATATCTAGTGAAATCCCTTGGTAACCAAAGATGGTCGTTTCTTCTACTTTGACAAAAACAAACCAAACCAACTAAACAGAACAAAACAAAATGGGGAGGAGGTCACTGTGTATCTTCTGATCACCAGTGGGTTTCCAAAGAGTTAAAGAGAGTCTCTTTTCATCTTTAAATTAGCTCTACTCTTGCTACTGAAGGAGCCATTCGTACACCCATTCCATGTACACGTCTACTTTTTTTCTCAAGTGCCCAACAGTAAGTTTCAACAACGCAAAAAATAGTACAAGATTACAAAAAGCATCACTGTAATTTTTAATTAGACACAGAACGATTAAGGTTCAAACATCATGAAAACACACACAGGCACGCACGTACATACACACACCAAAGACACACACCACAGTTTTAGGAGCTAATAGACAGCAACATTAGCAACACATTGAGATCCGCTCAGTAGTGAGTTGCAATCTTTAAAATTAGCTATTTTCTTCGCTCTGCTGTTTCTTAGTGAAAATGGACATTAAGAATCGGAGAAGCTGGAAAGGTGGCACGGTTGTGGGTTAAGTATATTTGAAAGCGAACGGCAGAACATTCTGCTTCTTCAGTCAAAACCAAAACCCACAGGCATCCAGAGAGTGGGACAATTTTCAGTTTGCAAGAGACAGAAATGAAAGCGAACGAATGTTAATACTGAGAAGTTTTGTATCAATTAGACATTTTACTTTTGAATCCCGAATCCGCTCTGCTGCGCTGGCAGACAGGTTGCTGTCACTGTGTGCTCGACTCATGTTGGCACTGGAGTTTGAAGCAGAGTTTCCAACGCTGGACCCACTGCTGCTTGCAGAACTGACCATGCTGGCACTGCTGCTGCTGGCACTGGCACCGCTCACTCCACTGGTGCTTGCACAGCTAAAGTTGCTTCTCTTCCAGGCCTCCCTTGTCGGCCGCTGACGAGGGCTATGCTCTTTGATATAGTTTCTGACCTTAGGACACATGGACAAGCACTGGTAAGTATCACGCCTTCATATTCCACCCTCAAGATGCTGGAGGAAAAAAAAATCATAGTGTGTTTAATCTGAAAGATGTCCAAAGTGCTTCAGATGTATGAAAGAGGTGGAATAGAAGGCCACGAGAAATATCTAAGCATAGAAATAAACAGCTAACACTTGGGAGGCTGAGACAGGAGGGGTGCAACTAGCTTCTGCCCAGATTGAGCTTAATATTATGTTCTTGGAAACCGTTTCAAAAGAATAATTTTTTAAAAATCGCAATAATCAAGAGAGGGATAGGAGAAGACTAGCACGAAGGAAAGGAAGGGGAGAAGGGAGGAGAGGAAGGGGACCAAAATACCAGCCGTGTTCAAAACTCTAGCAAACACATAGACCTATATTTTAAAAATATAAAAATTACGTAGCAAATCCTATTGGCCTTCAGAATTTGAATTTTAAGAAAAGAACACAGAAATAGAAACAACAAAATAAAACAGATGTGGTTATACATTTTAAAAGATTTCCACTAAAGATGAGTTAAGTATATTAAGGATTCCATCTCTGACTAGTGTGCATTTCCCTCTAAATTTTAGTGAGAGAGACAATGGAACCTGATTTTAAATGCAACACATCAATCAACTTACCATACTAGAGAAACTAGCTGGAATGTGGAAAAAATATTCCCTGTTGCGAGAAATGAGAGATTTTCACAAATGCTAAATGTAAGACACCAGAATTAAAAGCCTTTCTGTTAAAGCATGCACCAGGAAAAAAGGTGCAGAAAAATGTTATTTGGAAGGGATCGGTCCTTAAATTTCACTCTGCATAGGCTGTTATTCCACAAGACTAATCAAATCCCTTGTATAGATGCCTGACCACATGCAACTCTTGTTAAGTAGGAATTGGAGGTTTCAGTTTTTGTTTTGGCTTTGAAACATTTAGGATCTCATCTATTCCAGGCTGTCCTTGAACTCCTTAACTAATCAAGGATGCCTCTGAACTTCTAATTGTACTAGCACTACATCCCAAATGCTAGGATTACAGGCATGTGCCACTACTCCAAGTTTTCATTAGTATTTTGAGTCAGATAATTCATCTGTTGTAAACTGAGGTAGCACAAATCTATTCCTTAGTCCAAGCATCCTGTGAGACACAGAAAACATCTTAAAACCATATGCTATTGGTCTGGAGAGATGGCTCGGGGATTAAGAGCACTGGCTGCTCTTCCAGAGGTCCTGAGTTCAATTCTTAGTAATCATATAGCGTCTTACAACTCTCTGTAATGAGATCTGGCGCCCTCTTCTGGAGTGCAGGCAGAACACTATATACATAATAAATAAATCTTAAAAAAATACTAAAAACAAACAAACAAAAACATATGCTCTCAGATATTACTGATTTCTATTTCTTGCAGTACTGAGGATTGAATTCAGGGCTCTGTGCATGTTACACTCTACCACAGAACTACAACTCTTAGCTCAGCAACAATAGTTTTCAAATGTGACATCTCACAGCAGTCATTGTCTTGATAGTATATGAGTGTGCATATGATTACATATGCCTACATTTTAAAAGATGGTGGCATCTTCCGAGATAAACAATCTGTATTTATTTACATACCTGCTTCAGTTTTTCATCTGTGAGACAGTTAAGTTCAATAATGAACTCACTGTCAGTAGGAGAGATCTGTGCAGAAGGATCAATGATTTTAATAATATCAAGTTGCTCCCGAAGGCCCATCTCGGTACTGACTTTACGGCTCAGATACTCGATATATTCCACCTATGTGAAGAACAATTACAACAAACAATATCAGTATAAATCCTGACCTTTACTATGTGAATTATGACACACTTTAGACAGAAGAATTATTTTGTTCAAGGCTCCAATAAAACAACCATGCTAAGATATCATAATTTCATTTGTTTCCTGGAAAAAAAGTTAAAACTCAATTTCAGACATTTTTGTTTGTTTTTCAAGACATGGTTTCTCTGTGGCTTTGGAGGCTATCCTGGAACTAGCTCTGTAGATCAGTCTGGCCTTGAACTCACAGAGGTCTATCTGCCTCTGCCTCCTGAGTGCTGGGATTAAAGGCATGCACCACCACCATCCAGTAATTTCAGACTTGTTAAGAAATTCATATAATTAATTTAGTGGCTATAAAGAGGAAATTAAAGGTGGTTTCACCTCTTCTCTACACATAAGTTTTCTTCCCACACACATTTACTTTTAATTAAGAACGTCAACATACGTACCTGCTCATCATTTGTCATTGCACTCCAAGCAAGTTCATCTAGATTCCGGTGCTTGTTTTTCTTTTTAGGAAGCAGGCATGGTGAACTTGGAATACTGGGTATGACGTCAGAAAGTACATCACTTCCACTGGCAATGTCACTGCCTGGTAACTTCAGAAAAGTAAGAAGTACAGGGGTTAGGGAAAATAAAAATTGAAGGGTACATTTTAAATATGGTAACACATTGTATAGATCAATTAAAAGTTACTTTAGCCAGGCAAGGTTGGTTACATATGCCTGTAATCCCCATACTCAGTGGATGGTCAGTCGCCTAAGGACAGCCAGAGTTAAATAACCAGTCTCAGATCAACCTAGGGTATAGAAGATTGTCTGCCCAAAACAAAATAAAATTTACTTCAATACAAGACAAAGGGTAAATATACAATCAATATCTTTCAGGTAGACTAAAAATGAAGCATACCTATTTTACACAATGGGGCCAATTTCAGAATATTCTCTTTGAAGACATCTCATGAAAAAGCACTTTCCAAAACGATAAACCATAAATGAGAATGCTAATTTAAGTTTCAATAGCCACTCAAGTTTTTCATTTATAGCCACAATATTATCAGGGCCCATAAAACATGAGTAAGCTGTAGTGAGCTACCACAGGAGACCTGAGTGATCTGCCACTAACTGGGTTTATTCAAAACATGTAATTCCATGAATTCTTCTCCTCAAGTACACAGTAACAGCATAAGAACTAAAGTAATTTAAAATATGCTGTTGATATAAAGCAAAAACTCAAGAACAGAAACATAAGAAAATAGAAGTCCATGTGTAGGCAAAGGATAAATAAAACCAAACCCACCCTGAACGTGGGTGTTAATTGGGAGGACTGGGCAGTCCATGGGGCCTCTGGTAGTGGATCAGTATTTATCCCTAGTATACGAATGGACTTTGGGAGCCCATTTCACATAGAGGGATACTCCCTCAGCCTAGACACATGGGGGAGGGTCTAGGCCCTGCTGCAAATGATAGGACAGACTTTGAAGATCCCCCATGGAAGGCCTCACCCTCCCTGGTGAGCAGAAAGGGGATGGGATGAGGGTTAGAGGGAGGGACAGGGGAGGAGAAGGAACTGGGATTGACATGTAAAAAAGCTTATTTCAAATTTAAATGAAATATATTATCATAAACACTAAACCCAAAGCGCAGAAAACTCAAATCCAGTTAAAGTGAGACAAATATCAACAATATATTGCCTCTGAAGAGTGGGTTATTTTATTAATGAATGAATACTTGATAAATGAAAACTAAACAGTGTATAATTTGATATATCTGAACAAATGCATATACCCATGAAACCAAAGCATGCCATATCAATATGTTTATCACATAAATATCCTCTAAAATTAGTCAATTTAGTATTTTTAATATATTAATCAAAAATAGGTAAACATTTTCGCTTTCTTAGCAATACTCAAGGAATATTTTCATGATTATAAAGATATATCAACTTTTATTGCTTTTGGGGTCTCTAGAATTTGCAACTATATTTGGCTTTAGATGATTTCTAGGCCTTGAAATTTTCCAAAAGAGCAAAGCTTTAGTACTAAAAGCTATTACTGTTTTCATATGCATTGAAATTCTAATACAGATGTGGCGCTGTGATAGGTATAGGAGATTCAAGAGTAGAAATCATGTTCATCTCATAAAAATTTTATACTCAGGAAGGTAACACAATATCACCCATACATAATTGCACAATGCAGCATATGATGGATGTAAATACAGAGACAGACAGATCCTTGGGGAACACTGGCCAGCCAGCCTAGTTTAACTGACCAGCTTCAGGTCAATTAGAGACAGCATCTAAAAAGATGTGGATGGTATTTACACATGCACGCGCACACACACACACACACACACACACACACACACACACACACCCTATACTTGGGCTGGAGAGATGGCTCAGCTTCGTTATTAAAGATACTTGCTGCTCTTGTAGAGAACCTGGATTTGATTCCCAGCACCCATGTGGTGGTTAACAACCATCTGCAACACCAGTTCCAGGGAATCTGATGCCTTCTCCTGACTTCCACAGGTCAGGCATGCACAGGGTACACAGACTTACATGCAGACAAAATACTAATTAATATCAACTAAATAAATCTAATACCTATCCTTTCAAACTTTAGGAAAATTGTCTTTCCATCTTTGGAGACTATCTGTTTGGGGGTCAGACTATAAGATAAGCATGTTTGGTTTTGTCTAGTGTGGGAGAGAGGCAGGTATAGAAAAGTAATGAATAGTGTCTGACCACTTTTTTTTAAAGGGAGAAGTTAAAACAGCCTAGAATACAAAACCTAGTTCCACTGCTCACTAGAGGTAAGATCTGGTGTAATTTATTTATTTGATGACTGATTACTCTTCTGAGAGAGGATCTTGAACTATATGTCAGGCCACATGGAGCTGTCAATATGCAGACCAGGCTGCCTTGTTCCTCCTGTTTTAGCCTCCCAAGTATGGCAATTACAGGGATATAGTAGCTATCTTACCTGGTAATTTTGTGTGGCTTAGTTAATTTACTTCGAGTCAGTCTTCAACAAAAATTAGTTCATGCCATGAACTTCAAAGAAGACTCAGAAATGTACTTAGAGAACACAGGTGACACTTGGTAAAAAAATGTATTTTCTTTTTCTATTCCTTGCCATGGTTTCTGACCACTAAAACGGTAGTAAAAGCCCTTATAAGTGTGTCCTATGTTGCTGAATTGATTGGTCATACTTTACAAAGTGGTGTTTAATGACATGAGAGGGGCAGAAAAAGACATTTGGGAAAGAAAAAATAATTTAGTAAAACCAGATGGCAAAAACACAGGGTGAAGAAAAAAACCAAAACCAACATACATAAAAAAAAAGAAGCCCGGTATGTTGTAGCACACCTTTAATCCAGGCATTTGGGAGGCAGAAGCAAGAGGATCTCCATGATTTGGAGGCCAGCCTGGTCTACAGAGTGAACTCCTGGACAGTCTGGGCTATGTAGAGACTCTATCTGGAAATGATTTGAAAAGAAAGGAGGAAGGAAAATTAGTGCCAAGGATCTGAACAACAAAAGAACTGGAATCACTCCTATGACATGCTGGAGTGGACACAAAACATTTTCCAAGTGACAGTATCCTGATGAAACAAAACAGATGGGAGAAAGATTGGAACTCTATAGAAGCTTTTGCTGTGACCTTTCCTATACTCTAATCAGCATAAACAGGAAAGAAAACAGATGGGTGTAGAATTTTTGAAGACAAGCCATAATGTATACATTGTTTAGGAAACTTCATTGCTCTCTGCTTACTGGCTGCCTTGAGAGTCTGCAACCAGGAATTACCTACCACGAGGGACTCCATCCTCAAACTATAAAAGTAAAGCCTTCCTTAAGAAAAAAAGAGCAATTTGATAATTAATTGGTTAACAAAGTGTTCAATATTCCGACCACATGAAAGTATTTCATGATCATATAACCCACTCAGGATGGTACATTCAAGGACTTGAAATGTTAACAATTCTTCTACCTTAACACATTTATTCCAATAAGGAGGAAAATCGTACCCAAAGAGACCCACAGAAGCAGTGACCAAATCTAAAGTAGGACACAACTTCACATTCAAATATGACAGGCAACCTGGCCTTTATTGTAGTATGAAATAAGAAAATGATGCAGTGTAGAATATGGGTAACAGAAAAATAGTGGGTGTGCAAATACACTGAATAGAAAATAGTCATTATTCACTATGTTACATGTACATGGAAGTAGCAACACTGATCAAGGACTCAGCAACTCAGATAATGGGTTACTATGAAATAATAAAGTCATCCAAGTGGAAATGTCAAGTAGTCAACTAGACATATGGGACTAGAGTATCAGTTGTATAGCAGAATTAATTATATGGATGCTTGTATATTTATTAGGCCAGAATTTTCCCACTTTTAAATGATAAAGTATTTCAGAAGAAAAATGCTTAATAAGTCCTATCCTGTTTTTTATAGGCCATATTCAGTATATTTATACCATCTATAGTCAGTATATTTATACCATAATCAGTAGCCATGACACATGGAAAGAATTAAATCAAACCTCTGTCATACTTTCAGCAAGCTGCAGCAGAATTCTATGATTAACCTCATTTCTATAATGTGTAATTTCAGATTGCTCCTATAGGTTTAATGTGTGACAGCAGAATTTGCTCATTGCATTGTCTACGCTTTCCTGTTCAAGAACAGGAATAGTTTCTCCAAGTATGACTACTTAAATGCAACTTTCCAAAAAACCTGTGAATCATTTATATTAACTATAACAGCACCGAAACAGCTTTTAATGACAACAGAGTTAATATGATTTTTAAACTCTAACTAAAAATAAATAAATTTCACTGTTAATCCTAACATAATTTATAATCATCATCTTGCATAATTTACTTATTATTTTGAGATCTCACAAAGATAAGGAATGGGTACAGAGCTTCTATACTCTAATTATAAGAAATGGCCAAAAAAATTAATGAAATGATGCTAATGATATTCTGCCATACTCATAGATGAGAACCAAACCCAATCATCATCAGAGAGGATTTATCTATCAACTGATGGGAGCAGATGCAGTGACCCACAGCCAAAAAACAGGTGGAGCTTGGAGAACCCTGCAGCAAAGGGAAAAGAAAGGATTGAGGGAGTCAGAGGGGTTGAGGACACTAGGAGAACATAGCCCACAGTATCAACAAAGCAGGGCTCATAGGGGATCACAGAGACTGAAGCAGCAGTCATGACCACGTATGAGTCTGGGCCCAGTCCTCTGCAAATATATTATGGTTGTATAGCTGGGTGTTCTGAGACTCCTAACAGTGGGAGCGGGTACTATCCCTGACTGTTTTGCTTGCTTATAGGATCTTTTCCCCCCTACCGGGTTGCCTCATCTAGCCTTGAAGAGGGGGTTTGTGCCTGGTCTTACTGCGTTTTGTTATGCCCATGTTCTGTTGATATCCCTGGGAGGCTTGACCTTTTCTAAAGGGAAACAGATGAGCAGTGGACCTGGGAGGGGTGGAGGGAGTGGAAACAGCAGGAAGATGTAATGTATGAAAGAAGAATTTTAAAAAGTGGGAAATCTGGCTGGAGAGATGACTCAGCAATTAAGAGTCCTTGTTGCTCTTGCAAAAGGATCTCTGGAAAAAGATATAGTAGCTACTCTAAAAGACATGCCTTTAATCTTTGCATGAAGTAGTGTTTTAGTATTTGCAGTGGCACTGAATCATTTTGCTTCACTGGCAAATTCATTTGCTTGCAATCTTTCAATTACTGAATTAATAAGGAAGTTAGGAAACACATCTCTTTTTGAGAATATTTTACAATATTTTCCTCATTGGACATAGAACATTTCATGATCTACGTAACTGTGGATGGAAGTTTCTGTCCCACCTGGTCACATAGCCATTTAGTCCCCAATAAACACAGAGGCTTGTATTAATTATAAACTGTTTGGTCTACTGCTCAGGCTTCTTATTGGCTAGATCTCTCTTAAATTTTAACCCATTTCTATTAATCTGTGTATCTCCACATGGTCTTGATTTACCCCCAAAATTCAAATAATCTTAATAAAGGGCAACAACACTGGTTGGGCTTAGGGGTACAAGTCTTGAATCCCAGTATTTGAGAGTCAGAGGCAGGGATATCTAGGGCAAAGCCAGCTTGATCTACATAGAGAGGTAAGCCAGGGCTACATAGAGAGAACTTGTCTAAAAAAAAAAAAAAAAACAAAAAACAAAAAAAAACAAAAAAACAAAAAAACAAAAAAACAAAAACCTAACAACAACATGAGAGAACACACACTTTCCAATTTCAAAACATGCTACAAAACCACAGTGTTACATAAGCATAACAACACTGGTATCAAGCCAATAGAATTTTGAGTCCAAAAATAAAGCCATTTGCAACAGTATACCAAGACTATTCAATGAGAAATACACTAGACTTTTTAAGCAAATGATGCTGGATTAAAAGAAAAACCTAGAAATCAACATCCACAGTGAAATTCTTCTCTGTCACACAGGGCATTTACTGGAAAATTACACTAACATTACACTCAGTGGAAAAGATTGGAAGCTTTTCCTTCCAAACAGGAAACACAGATAAGCTTTCCCCAGTACACCAAAGGCCTATATATAAGAACTAAATCTCTAAATCTCTAAATCTCTAAGAAGGAACAGGTAATCTTCATGATCTTGGCTAAAATAGTTTTTAATACAACATCATAAGCACAATAAAGAAAAACATGTGCATTAGGACCTTATCTAAATTAAAAATCATTTGCTTTGCACGGTAGTAGAAGCCTGAAAAATTGGCACTGACTCAGGAGGGTCCTCCGTTGAAGGTTAGCCTCCGCTAGGTAGCAAGATCCTATCTAAATGAATTTTATCAAAGTGCATTATTAAAGTAAAATACACTTCAAGTGAAAGCACAATCTACAAATGGGGAAATTTCATAAATTGTATATTTAGTAAGAAAAAGCAGAAAAAGGGTTTACAAGTAATCAGACAATAATAAAAACAGGCAAAGGATTTCAAAAGGTATTTCTTTAAAGAAGGTATAAAAATAATATAAGCAATGAAAAGATGCTCAACATTAGTCATCAGAGAAATGTAAAATAAAATCACAATATGGTGGCTGAAATTAAAAAGATAAACATCAATATAGACCAAGATGGAGGAACTGAAATCTGCCACAGAAAAGGATAAAGTACCATTACATGCTACAATATAGTTCAACCTTGAAAATAGCAAAACAGGTAAGAAGCTTTATCCAATAGCCATAAAATTGTGCAAAGTCCATTTATAAAAAAAGAAGAGTAAAGGGATAGATAGCTTAGTGGGTAAAGAAACTTACACTTCCAGCTTCATAACCTAGGTTTGATTTCTGGAGTGTATATAGTGGAAGGAAAGAACATTCATAAGTTGTCCTCTGACCTCCACATGCATGTTGTGATGCATGCGTGTGTACACACACACTAAAAATAATATAAACCTTTTTAGAGATAAATCTATAGAGTAGATTGGTGTTTGCCAATTGACAAAGGCAGAGAGGAAGTGAAGCTCTGTGCTTAAAAGGTTTACAGTTCTTTTGTGTGTGTGTGGGGGGGGGGCGGGTTTACAGAAAATACCCTGGAATTGGTGGGGATACCTACAGAACACTGTGAGTAGATTAAGCAGTACACAATTATATCTTTTTAAAATTACTCAAATGGCAAATTCTATATTTTTTAAAGGTAAAACAATAAACTTATCTGAAGCATATTTGCATCTCTATGTGGAAAAGAAGCTGAACACAAAACCAAAAATGGGGGTGGTGAATTACTTTTTCCTCTTTAAAACCTCTTAGCTCAGTGTACACACATATAGACAAAACTGAAGCCAACTAAAAGAACATGATGGATACAGCTCTGAAAAGGAATAAGATATTCTATTATCTGAAAAAAATCATACAAACATCAAAGGAAGTATTTGTATCTGAACACACATGCATATATCAACATACACCTGTATGTGTAAAAGTTTGTCATAGTAGCAACCAGAAGAGTTCTTGAGACTTTTAATTTATACCACCCTGTCCTATTTGATAGTTTCATAAAAATAGGGTTTTTTTTTTTTGAGATAGAGCTTCTCTGTAGCTTTGGAACCTGCCCTGGAACTCGCTTTTTAGACCAGGCTGGCCTCAAACTCACAGAGATCCGCCTGCCTCAGCCTCCCGAGTACAGGGATCAAAGGTGTGCACCAGGAAAGCCTGGCAATAAAAATAGTTTTAACTCAAATAATATCTGAGCCCTTTTTAAAAATACAGGTTCACATATTCACATGACTTTTAAAATAGCAGGGATTCAAGTTCATCTATTGAACAAAACATGCAGTATATGCAAGGGAAACTTTTATAATGTTATTTTTTTTACAAACATAAAATGGATGCCACAATAAAGCAACATATTTTCTAATATATCACACTCACTATAATGCAGTATTTTTAAACAACTTGCCACAAAGACATTGTTCATATTACATATGCCACAAGAAGAAAAAAATTATTTTGAATAAAAAAAAATCTATACGCAAAATTAATATAAAATGATAAACTACAGTGTACTTCTGATAAAAGAACCAAATATCTAATATAATCTGACATGTGTCTTCTAAGTACATGAATGCTATCAATTATGAAATGGGAAGAAATACATTTGCATAGTAAAGGCTGAGCAAGTTCCAGGACACCAAAGGCTATACAGACAAACCCTGTCTCAAAAACAAAAAAAAGAAAAAGAAAAAACAAACTTACCTGCCACTCAAATTCGCTATCTGACCAATCCCAGTAAGTGCTGATAGAGGAGGAGACATCGCTGCAGACACTTCCCTCGGGGAATAGGTCAAAAGAAGTGAAGTCTTGATCATCTAACAGGGAATAGCAATCATCTTGATCTCCAACAGAAACTGATGAAAACAGCTCCTCGCTACATTCTGAGCTTGCAACGCTTGTTCCACAAGAAGTGAGGTTCCACCTTCAAAGCCACAAGAGAAATCACATCAGGAATCACAGAACCCACACAATTTGAAGACACCAACAAAACCCACTTATGATATTTGTGACAAATGCCTTTTGCAGTATAAGGGTACTGTAATACTTTTTTGCAGATAATACTTTAAAAAAAACACAAAAACAAAAACTTTTACCCTGTAAAGAAAGGGTAAAAGGGCTGGAGAAATGGCTCAGTTACTGTGAAGATTATATGACAACCCATGCAGAAACTTAACACACATAAAAAGCTAGTAAATACATGGCAGTTATTACTAGAAAGAATGAGGTGAGCCATTTTAGCCAGATAAAAAGTATAATGCATTGGAGGCTGGCCTGGAACTCACTCTGTAGACCATGCTAGCCTCCAATTTACTGAGACCCACCTGCCTCTGCCTCCTGAGTGCTGGGATTAAAGGCTTTCACTACCCATGTGCATGCATGCGTGTGTGTGGGTGTGTGTGTAAAACTGTGTGGTAGTAGTACAAGTAATTGAACCTACAGATTCACACAGGTCAGCTAACATTCTATAACTGAGTTATATCCTTGGCTGCTTTTTGATATTTTTATTTTAAGGATGAATTTTACTAAGTTGAACAGACTGGGAAAGAACTCACTCTGTAGCCCAGAAAGGCCATGAGTTTACAAACTCTCTGCCTCAGTTTTCCCAATAGCTGGGATTACAGTCCTATACCATCAATCCAGCTGAAATTAGATTTTTTTTAATCTATAAATATTTAGCCAAAGAAAAATTCTCCTAGGAAAGGCTACTTACTTGAAAGGTAACAACTGAATCAAAGAATGTGCATATTTCTAAGGTTCATGGCACAAGGTTTCTGGAATGGGTTAGACAGTTCAGAGGGTAAAAGAAGCCTAATGACAGGAGTTCCATCCTTGGAACCCATATAAAGGCAGAAGGAGAGAACTAAATCCACAAAGGTGTCCTGTGACTTCAATGGTATCTATGCCTGCACACACACACACACACACACACACACACACACATACACACACACCACACACTGCATAAACATACAATAACAAATGAATACGTTTTTAAAAATACATAAGACAGCTTTTGTTTAATTTCTTTTAAAATGTGTGTCTGGCAAGGTATGGCGGTGCATGCCTTTAATCCCAGCACTTGGGTTCAAGTCTAGGTTGGTCTATATGTCAAGTTCCAGGCCAGGCAGGACTACATACTGAGTGAGACCCTGCTTCACAAAAACAAAGAAAGAAATGTACCAGTTATTTCTGTTATTTGTGTTATTTTTCCTTACTGCTTTTATGAGTATTTCAGATATTCAGTATATTCAAGCATTTTGTCACTAGTATATGTTATATATCTTGCAATATAAAGATCATTTTCTTTTGTAAATTTCCACTAGTTTTATATTCTTTTTCATTAAGATCAGACATAAACATAAGTTGCCTTGACAGGACCATAGGGAATTAATAATCCTTAAGATAATAACTAGTATTTCCAATACTAATAAGCTCCTGGAATAATCACTTCCTGAAGAAAAGTCTATTATTAGGTTGTTCCTCATCCTTCATTAAATCTTGCTTTTCTTGAATTATGTAACCTTGAAAAATTCTTCATCTGTTCTGTATGACTTACAAAACTTAGGCAATAAAAATTGGATGATATATTTTCCTCTGAGCTGAAGGTAAAATATTATAAAGCACTGAAACACAAATATTCATAAACATAAAATTCATCTACGAATTCTAGAACATTTTCATTTTTGCTGTTTTGTATGTATTTGTATGTATGGGGGAGGGATTTATGCACGCACACGTGTGCATGCGTGTGTGCTTGTGTGTGTGTGTGCGCGCGCGCGCGTGTGTGTGTGTGTGTGTGTGTGTGTGTATTTAGACCAGAAGACAACCCTGTTTCATTTTTCAGGGACTTTGCACTTCTTGTTTTGAGACAGGGTCTCGCCAGCTGGAAGTCACCAAGGAGGCTAGGCTAGCTGTCCAGTAAGCCGAGGACCTGCCTATGTCCCTGTCCCCAACACTAGGTTAGAAGTACAAGCTGCTTCACCGAGTTTTGAGTTCTGAGGACTGAACTCAGCAAGTCCTTTATTGACTGAGCCATTTCCCCAGACTTAGTTTTATCTTAGGGTTACTAGGTAGATAATAGCCTCATTAAAAAATAAAAGGGCGGGGGGAACAGCTCAGTTGGTAAGGTTCCTGTGGTGCTAATATGAGGACCTGAGTTTTAGTTCCAGTACCTACATAAAAAAGACTGGCACAGCAATGTGAGCATGGAATTCCAGTAATGGTTCAATGAGAGATCCTATCTCAAAAAAAAAAAATTAAAGAAGATAATAAATTAGGAGCTGAAGAGATGGCTCAGTGGTTGCTCTTACAGAAGAGCACGACTCAGTTCCCAGCATCCATATGGACACTCAGAACCAACTGTAAACTCCAGTTCCAGGGGTTCTGACATCCTCTTCTGGACACCATGAGCACTGCATGTACTTGGTGCATAGTCATGCATGTAGGCAAACACACACACACACACACACACACACACACACACACACACACACACACACACACAAAAGAAATAAAATTTAAAGTATCATTTAAAAAATAAGCTGCAGAATGATTGACAAAGACACCTGACATCAATCCTTGTTCGAATGAATGCATACACACAGATGAACAAGTATACACATATGCACTAATAATAATAAACAACCCAACAGAATAAACCAAATTACCAGGTCTTACAATAAAAGCTCTAAATAGCAATCAGAAATTCTGTCCCAAGTGCAGCAATATAGTGAGCAGACTATTTTTTGTCTTCAAATCCCATGTGACTCCATACCACTCCCTACCTTTGTTGGTAACATCTAAGTGCCAAATACTATTTTCAGTGGCAGGGGAAGCTGCTATTAGTTGTTTTTAATTAGAATTGTCTTTCAGCTTGCAAAAATCTTGTGGAAACAGGTTTGCCTCCCTGAGCAATAATGACATTCTTCACAAAAAGCTTCTTACACTTAACAATCTAACAAGTCAATCACTGACAAGAGTCAGGCTGGTACCTGCTTTTGTACTCTTTCTATGTTCCTCAGGTTTTGAGACTTGTGGGTTTATAGCAAGGCTCTGGAATCTTGATTCTCTCAGATGCCACTGCTTTTCTTTATCGGTATCAAGTGAAAAGGATTCACAGCTAAGACAAATAATTGGCAAAACAGAGAAATAGTACCTTTTCCTGTCAAAGATTTTTAAATTCTACATATGTATATCTAGTCTAATTTGCAAATATTAATTCTTCTTATATTTAAGCAATGCAGATCAAACAAAGTAAGTAATTCTTATCCATTTCTGGTAGCTGCTAATATGTGAACAAGAGGTTTATAATTCCCCCTTCTACTCCCTTCCCCCAAATAGAAACTTGGAAAATAAAAGATGCATTGAAAATATGTACAAATAATATTATTTTATCTGATAATTTTGGTTTTGTTTGTTTATGGTGTTTTCAAGACAGGGTTTCTCTGTGTAGTTCTGGCTGTCCCTCACACTGTAAACCAGGCTGGCTTCGAATTCTCAGAGATCCACTTGCCTCTGCTTTTCCAGTGCTTGGATTAAAAATATGCACCACCACTACCTGGCAAATAGTATTATTTTAAAAATATAAAGTAAATGCCCCCCTCCAACAAGAAGAATAACTGATATATCTCAATAATTGTATCTTCAGACTATCTACTGAAAATCAGAGTACAGGGCTGGGGAGGTGACAGAGTTAAAGTACTTGCAACAAAAGCTCAAGGACCAGAATTGGAATCTCAGAACTCATGAGAATGTTTAGGGTGGGGATTATTGTCCACCTGTAATTTTAGCATTCTGAAGGCTGAGACAGGGAATCTCCAGGACAAGATGGTTAGACAAACTAGCTAAATGGGCAAACTCTGGCTTCAAATGAGAGACCCAGCCTAGATGAGTAACATGAGAAAGCAGACAAAAACAACTGTCAACATCACTTGACACAAACACATAGTCACATACATGAACACACATAAACACACACATACACAGGAGAAAAAAAAGAAAGGTACACAACATAATTATAATAAATGGTTCATAAATTAAATTATATAATATATGTGTAATACATAATTTATGAACCACTTATTATATATACAGAGAGAGTGTGTGCCTAATCCTGTTTTGTTAGTTACATAGGTTGAACATCTCTATTCTTAAACTCCAAAATTTACAGTGTCCACCAAATCCAAAACTTTTTGCAAGCGAGATTTAGACCATGAGTAGAAAATTCCACCCCAACCTCACATTATGGGATATAATCAAAATAAAGGTGTAGTAAAAATATTATATAGAATTTGCTTCAAACTATGTCTGCAGTATATATGTGAAACATGAATTTAGTATTTAGAGTTTGTTCACAACTCTAACATATCTCATTATGTATGTGAATTCTGCAACACACACACACACCTCAGAAACATCAGATTCCAAGTATTTCAGATCAGCAATCCTCAATCTGTATTTGTACATTAAAAAAAAAAACATGAAAAGAAACAAAGTGTTGACTGTTTTCTCTAAGAAAAGAGGAATGTGCCTTCAATTTTCTATGAGTTTTTTTGCAGTAAACAATTATGTAAGATTCTGATAGTTTTGAATGTCCAGTGTGTGTTCAGCACAGAATCTATCAAATTTACAAGAGTTTATGCCTTTAAATTACTTACTCCTATTTTTATGTGTGTTTTCCACAGCATGTATATGTGTGCACCATGTTCATGCCTGATGCCCATGGATGGTTGTGAGGTGCCATGTGAATGCTAGGGATGGAATCCTGATCCTCAGGGAGAGCAGCCAGTGCTCTTAACTACTGAGCCATCTCTCCAGCCCTTACATTTTAGTCCACTAAGACTGCCAAACACCAAAATTCTAACTACAACCAAAACATTACTTTCATAGGATACTTTCTACAAAATTTTAAGAGAAAAACGT